CTGCCACCATCAAACTCTCCCAGCCCAGGGAGCCCAACTGGGAGCTGCTCCGAATCACCAATCCCCCCAGGAGCCAAGCAGTGTGGCTCCAGCTCCGCTTGGATGGAACTGGACTTGTTCTCTGTAAATATTTATGAAACGTGTATCAAGTCCAAGTCTCAGGGATTATTTTCTCCCCTTTGTCCTCCAGACAAGGCTCCCAGCGCTCAGGAATGTGCAGCTGACAGCTGAGGGAGCCACAGCTCAAGTGTCCATGGACAAACATTCAGAATGCAAGGTCAGCGTCCCCTGCCATGCCATACACCGGTCAGACACGCCGCAGGCAGGACAGGCCACGGGGCAGGCCGCTTGGCCATGCACCAGGCAGACGTGCCGCAGGCAGGACAGCAGACAGAACCTGGTGTCCTTTCAGAAACAGTACCATGAAGGGCCAGGTGTAGGGAATTCAGTCCGTTTAAAATTCCCAAGTCAGGAACTGCACTGCTCCTGTTAGATCCCCAAAGCAGCGCTCCCTCTGCATGTGCTGGTGTTTTGATGGGATGGTAAAGGAGGAAAAGGAATCTGATCTCCAACCTTACGGAGTCCTTGGCCTCTCTGGGGAAGCTATTTGAAAGGGAGGTTTTTACAGTGTAAACATCCGTCAGTGATCCACCACAGCGGAGGCTTCCCCTGTGCATTCCATACCCAGCATTCCGGTTCCCAAAGTGCGCGCAAGGCTTGAGACAGCAAGTGAGAACGTAGGTGATTCTGTTTTGTTGCTGTCACCAGGAGGGACGGGCATGGCCCAGCCAAAGGGCTTTACTGCACACAGAAACTTACCCTGGAGTTCCCCACGTGAACACTGTACTTTTCCCTGAGCTGTGTAACTTCTTTTTGTCACCCCAACACCCAGCCCTAGGCATCTCCCGGCCTCCCCTTGGCCGGCTTCCCAGTGACTACACCAGCCTGCCGGTCCCAGCAGCGCCGCCGGAATTGCAGCAGTAGCCCTGTTCTCCCCGTCCCAGCCAGCATTCCTCCTGCCCCGCTACCCTGCCCTCCTCGGGCTCCTTACCGGACTGACACAGGCACGTTACCACCAAGGCCTTAGGCCGGGGCTCCAGCCATTCCGCAACAGCTTTGCAGTTCTTGCCCTCCTCGGCATGCTCTGCAGGCTACGAAGTCAGCAGATAAAGGATCTTACAGAAATAGTTTAAAAAAAGCAGCAAAAAGGTTTGCAGAGTTAAAAAGGAAAAGGATGGGAGAGGAGTGGGAATATTCTGGAGGTGGTTTCAGGCATCCCTTCACAGGATCGCTCTTCAAACTCACCCTGGCAGTACAGGAACGGAAGGGGTAGGAGGAATTGTTCCTCAGGCTCACACTGGAGCCTTTGGATGAAGAAACTGCAGGAAAATTGACTGCAAAGTACTGGAGTTCTACTTAATTGTACCAATTAACTGATGGGCCGTAAACACACAGCAGGGCTTCACCCACCCACTTCAAGCGCTGCCTAAGGCTGTTTAGTTTGAAATCCCAGGCTCGCGAGGTTAAGCCCACCTAAGGTCACTAAATTCAAGTCCCCTGGAGATTGACCTGATTTAGATCTGGGTTTTCAAAGGTACTTGGTTACAGTGTATTCGTGTAACTCACGAAATCACAAGGGCAGGCACAGCCTCTGAGGTTTCCTTACAAGGGAGGGAATAAGATTTGCTGAGTAAGGAATCCTCCCTGCTTCTGCCCCAGATGGATCAGTTTCCACATCACGGAGCTCCTGAAAAGCAAGAGGGAAGGATGGCCACACAAAAAACCAGGCCTAATGAAGATGACAGTTACTGGAAGGAGAAAATGCCCACATCCTAGTTAATCAAAAACTCTCTATAGTCAGCAGTAACAGAAAAGGAAAAAGCACCTCGATTAGACCACAAACATTAATACTGGCCAAGCATTCCTCAGTTCCTTCTACTATCTCTGCTTCACGATCCTTGGATTCCCAAGACCTGGAAATCAAAAATACTACCAGCCTCAACTTCAGGGTTTTGACTTTAATGATCTTTTCTAGGGTGCACAGCACATGACTAAGGGATGGAATGAGGTCAGCAGCTTATTCTGGGCTAATTGTTACATTCCCTGAACTAGAATACCAGTAACTGAACCTGAGAGTAGATCTCTGCAAAGCCAAAGATCACATTCTAAAATTAGAGTGCTAATGAAGGCTCATTAATAGACAAGAAGAATCCCTCTAGAATTCTGAGGCTAGTGCTAAATGTATCTATAGAATCTCAAGTGCCCTCGACACGTATGGCATCTTAAAGTTCCTGTCTCACTGTACGAGTATTCGCACAGAGCAGACCCAGGCTGGGTGACCCTGACGCGTCGGGTACCTACGGAGGCATTATCTGCAGGACCTGACCCAGCTTTTCACTTCCCATAAGGAGCCAAGTTCTCAGAAAAACAGCGAGGCTACAGCTCTCTTCTGACAGCTCCTAAGGCGTTCTTAGGTGAACCTGGGCTCGTTTGCTAAAGCTGCACGTAAGCACACGGTTTTCTTTACAGCATACTCCTCTTGGAGTTTTAGCTTCCCAGCTGTTCTACGAGGCACCACAGAATGGGCAGGGTTGGAAAGGACCTGGAGAGCATCTCGTCTAACCCCCTGCCAAGGCCGGTTCACCTAGAGCAGATTGCACAGGAAGCAGGTATCACCGGATGCCAACACACCACAGAATGGTTTTAGCAAGACTGTGGTTCTCAGACCTCCTGTTCTGCGTAAACGTTTCAGAGAAATGCTAAGGCCAGCGGCGTCCGTCCGTGACGAGCAACCTGCTTAGAGGAAGCTTTAGAAAAGAACGGCCGAGTGGCTTCCAAACTACACATCACACACCTCCTGCTCTTCTCCCATCCAAATCAAACATGTCCTGTCATTAGTTGAGTAACATCAAGAACTCCAAGCTCTTATCCCCAACAGAGGGCTGGAATAGAACTCGAGAGCTGCTGAAGCTCCCCAGCCTTCAGACACACAACGGTGTCTGATGAACGCTCGAGTCTGGGGAGAAAACAGCAGGATTTTTAAAGAGAGGTGCTTTGCATTTCTTGTACCTGTGTATTTCTTTCTGGCATGAAAGACACGCAGCGAGCTGAAATCTGTTCGCTGCATCACACAGCACCGGTACAAACAGATCCTTCATGAAGGAACAGGATCTGGCCTCTCATCCCCCAGAAAGCAGTTAAGTGTTCGCTCTAGCTGAACTACAGCCATTTGGTGGCTGTGCTTAATGAGGAGCATAGAATCATAGAATCATAGAATGGTTTGGGTTGGAAGGGACCTTAAAGATCATTTAGTTCCACCCCCCCTGCCAGGGGCAGGGCCCCCTTCCACTAGACCAGGTTGCTCAGAGCCACATCCAGCCTGGCCTCGAAGACATCCAGGGATGGGGCATCCACAGCTTCTGTGGGCAACCTGTCCCAGTGCCTCCCCACCCTCTGCGGGAAGAATTTCTTCCTGATGTCCAATCTAAACCTCCCCACTTTCAATTTAAACCCGTTACCCCTTGTCCTGTCACTACCGGCCCTTGTAAAAAGTCCCCCCCAGCTTCCTTGTAGCCCCTTTAGGTACTCCAGTCACCAAGACAGCAGCACATGCTTCTCTGTCCTTCCCAGACAGTCTGCAAGTAACCATGATTTGGTATTGTGGAATTCAGAATTCCCACAGAATTCCAGGGAGAACAGATCCCCAGCTGCTTCCTTTTTTTAAATGGTGAAACTACTAGACTCCTCCTCTGTAAGGTGTTACATACCGAAATGTCTCCTCAACAGACTATAACAGAAACAATCTGCCTCTTCTTTGTGTTGTGCATTTTTCTAACTGGTATCATACACATCAGAGGGAGAGCGATTTCCCCCTTCTCTGCATTACACATCTGCGACTCGGGGGAAGCTTTTTTCCCAGGCTGCGTATCAAGTTGTCGTTTCACCTCCACCTGATACTCAAAGGTATTTTTTAGCTTTGTAAAAAGGTCTGTGTGCCCCAGCAAACCTGTGGTAACAGAATAAATACAAAAGGAGTCAGATCACCAACATAAAGATAAAAATGCATGTTTTTGTAAAAAGGAGATCGGGACTGTAAGGAAAATAAGAGCAAGAATTCCTCCTCCCACACATCAAGCCCACAGAACTGCAACGGTTTCGAGACTGCAAAAAGCATTACCCAGAGATTTGTACGTGAAGCAGTGCAACTCTGCTTCAAAAGGTGAGGGAAAACACAGGAATTCAAACAGCACCCGACAAAAACACGCAGTATGTAAACACGGCAGCCGCGGGCACCCGCACAGCTTCACGTTTGCGCAGCAACGCGGGTGGAGAGCACGAATCCTTCCAGCACTTACAGTGTCGGTGCTGGATAGAGAACGTGAAGTGCTTTGAGCCACGGCTGTAAAACCTTTCAGTAACACACGGAAATAAAGCTGAACTGCGTTTAAAAATAAGCACTCATGTACAGGCTTTCAGTGATTACGGGGTTTAGTAAGGACCAAGGAAATGACTGTCATTCTCCAGCACTGGCTCAGTTCTGTACACCCAGAGATCACTCAGCTACAGAAGTGTCCCGGAAGTCAAAGTCCCCCAGCACAGCAAACTTCTCCGTCACAGCAGCTGTCAGGCCTTACAAAAAGACAAATTAATTCAACACAGCAAGAGAAATGTGCTGCTTCAGCCACCCCCAAGCACCCTCCAGAGCACAAGCCCACATGGTAGCACGGGAACAAGAGGCCTTTTCCACAAGAGACTGCAAACCGCCGTCGTTACAAACCGACCGCGCGCACTCAGCCCTGGACAGAAGCTCGACACTGCTGTCAGCATAAAAAACAGGCTGATCACACACTTCAGCTTCTAATGCTTTTAGTTTCAGCAG